AAAATTATTTAATATACCTCACTCGGACATGCATGTAAAAGATCCAGAATTTATCAACAAATGTAGTTGGAGGGAAGCAAAAATCCTATCTTTCACATCCGCTGCACCATTAACCCATTTGACAGGGCTAGCCAACTTTGAAGCCTTTGAATAGTGCAAACCAAATATATATTTTGTTTAAAAACTGAACTGTTCCTGTTGCTATTCTACAATTTGTTGTAATCATCCCTGAGTTCTCTACCTCTCATTAAAAAATATACTGATTTGTCTGCTAGTTTTAAAATGCTCACCATGCTGAGAGATGTGTCATCTGTAATATTACAATACTATTCTGTTGTGTATCATAATGAAGAAGAAAAGGCAGCTGTTGGAAATGCAGTTTAGTAATGCAATTGCATCTCAGGATAAGATATCTTAAAATTCCATAGCTGTGATATTTTAAATTGCTGTAACTTTTTTTATTTTTATTTTATTATAACCATATTTAAAAAGGCACTGAAACCCCAAGGTCTTTTTCGTATTGTGTATTCATTATAATAATTACATGAATACAAGGAATAACTGTAAAAAACTTTTCCTAAGTGATCAAGTTTGTGGTAATGTGCAAGTTTGAATGCAGATGTTTCCATTCATTAAAATTACAGCTAATTTGTAGCTATTAGCGATCACGGTTGTTCAGTGGTTAGCAATGCTGCCTCACAGCACCAGGGACCCGGGTTTGCTTCCAGCCTCAGGCAACTGTCTGCGTGGAATTTGCACGTTCTCCCCGTGTCTGCGACGGTTTCCTCCGGGTACTCCGGTTTCCTCCCACAATCCAAAGTTGTGTAGGCTAGGTGGATTGGCCATGCTAAATTGCCCATAGTGCTCAGGGATGTGTAGATTAGGTGGGTTACAGGGGGATGGGTCAGGGTGGGATGCTCTCAGGGTCGGTGTGGATGTGTTGGACTGAAGGGCCTGTTTCCACACTGTAGGGATTCTATGAAAACTGAGAGATCACTCCAAAATAATACTAGATCTATTTATTCTAGTAAAGAGAAAACTGAGGGTTACCTGATAAGAGTCTTCCAGATTAGGAAAGGAGTTGATTGATTACATGTAGAAAATATGTCTCCATTTGTGGGTGATGCCAGAACTAAGGGCCAGCCATAAACATAAGACAGTCACTCATGAATCTATTAAAGATTCAGAGGAAACCTCTTTCCCCAGAGAGAGGTTAGAAGGTGGAATGCCACGTCACAAGGGGTCATTGAAGCAAATATCATTGATGCAATTGAGGGAAAAGGACTAGAAGAATCTTCTGCTGGGTCGAGATGAGAAGACATGGGAGGAGACAAATAGGGAGAACAAGAACATTTGTGTGTCCTTTTTGGGCCGAATGGCCTATTTTTAGGTTGTAAATACTTTGAAACTTTGGAATATTTATCTTTGTTCCTAACAGGGCTGGAAGAGCTTGAAGCCTAAGCAAGCTATGAAATAAAATGCAGGATGTATAATTGTCCTTCAATCCTTCATAAAACAGGAATAGAGTTCCTCTATGTGCGACTTGTAGTGTGATTATATACCCATTTATAACTGAATACAGCACTAAGGAAATCCTCCTTAATAGTGAACTAACTAGTTTGTCAAGTGTATAGGGCTGCAAATGCAGGGCCACTGACTTCACAAAAAATAGTGAAAGGTACCAGCATAAACCTTATGATGACCGCATTAATCGGGCTGTTGACAAAATATCAGGAGAAGGCTTTCCAGCTGCCTGCTTAGCCAAAGATGAAACGTGAAATAGATAAAAGATCAATTGATATAAAGTATGCAAACTGCCTAAATCATCATTCATTCTTATTTGTCATAAGTATTGAAAGTGAATCAGTGAAGTTGCAATCAGAAAGAAATCCTTAAGGAATATTGGAACTACAGTAAATTCTGAAAGAAAGTTTCCCAAGATGCTGGCACTCATTACTGCAGGCCAACTTAATTCATTCACGATTTGTCTGTTGTCCCACTCATTATTATTGCTTCAGTCTCAAAAAACAATTTACCGCTGCTTTTGAAAACAGATCTGGCTTTGTATTTTTTTTCCCAGTAACTACATTACTCATCTAGAATTCAAATTTAATAAATGTAATACTTTGTGATGGAATTAATTGTCAGTTGTAAATATTGAAGATTGAGATTTCATATTTCAATGTGTGGGAAACAGAAATGAAAGAAATGAGGAATTATAAATTAAAGTGATTCGATTTTCCTGTTCCCAAGCATCTTGTGTTATTGTATTAAATAAAATTGGTAAGATATACAGTCCAAATGCCTTGTGCAGCTTTAAATTCAGTTGGCTATCACTCTTCAGAAATGGCTGGATACAGAAGTGCATTTTGGAACAATTTTGCTTCACAAAGTTCAGTCTTAACAAAGAATACTAGAAATGAAGGTGGTTGAGAAAGCATAAACAAGGAAAGATGAAAAATAATACCAACAAAAAAGAATGGACAACAAAAGTCATAAACATAATGCTTTATGAATCTGTAAATTTTTCATTAAGCAAATTCATAATATTACAAAATTTGGTTTACATTGATGACAACAGTGTTTAACCTTTAGACTGTGAATTATCAAAGATTGAAATTAATTTATTTAAGATCATACATGATTAGTTGAACTTCTGCCTTCGCTCTATGAAGAAATTGGTTTATTTATGCAAGCATACTTTCAACACAGACTCCAATGTTTCATATTTATGTTTATATCTTTTAAGTTAAATTTATATTTAAACATCATGCTAAATAGCTGGTTGACTGATATTTTCCCAAGTTTCTTCTGCCTTGATTCTATTACACTTTCCAGGCTCAAGGGATGTTAAATCATCAGTCTAATGGCAGTGCAAAGTGGGGTATGATTCACTGGATGGAGAGGGCAAATTCTGTGACATTTTACACAGTGAAAGTAAATTCAGGAATGTCTGCTAAGTAGCCTGTCGAGCAAGAACTTTGTAATCCAGCATTTATCAGTCAAAATGTGTCCAACTTCAACAAAAAGCTTCAGTTTCGTTAAGTGCGTGTAATGCTGAGAAATACATGCTTGTATATTTTCCTCATTCCTATATCGTCATAATGCATTGACTAACATTGACTATGATTGTTCATGCATCTGCACTCAACTCATCCAGAAATATTGATCGGTTGGAAAAAGAATTAGGGGCCTGGCATAATCAAGCTCTGCCCCTAACTTCAGTCTCACCCATCCCAACCTGATGTAAAAATAAATTTAGCCTGCCATTAGGAGGATAACAACATGTCGTAATGAATCTTTCTGTCTGCAAGTATTCTTTGTGTTGCAGAAATATGAAAATGCAATATTCAAGGCACATTTGCTCTAAGGGTTGTTACATTTGGCTGTTCCAAAATATTAATTGCATGTAATTCTGCCCAGAAATAGGGACATGGCTATGTGCAAGGGTTTTAATAAGACATTAAGGCCAGTTCAAAGGTCACTGAAAGGAGTTCAAATGTGATAAGCAGCAAGTCTAGAAGTTATTAAGTATGTATGCATAAGAGAAAGAGAAAGAGAAAAAAAGAGAGAAGTACATTCCAAGGATGTTCTGGAAACTGAATAGTATAGTGCAGCTGAGAATGTGGGTTGCGTGATGTGTGGGAGTATTTGCTTGTTGTAACTGAGCAAGATTAGAGTTCAGGGAAAAATCCAGGGATAGCTCTAGCGTGGTGCAACTAGCTGATGGTGAAAACTGTGCGTGTGAGTACAGTTTCCAGAGTCCAGAGAAGCACACTCCCCAGAAAGGAGGTGATTAACCAGAATGGGAGAAATAATTTAAGAATTTCGCAAGGAAATGGTTCTTGAGAGGGAGTTTCAAGGCTACACTGGCAAAAGTGGTCAGTTGTAATTCCTTGTGAAGTTCAATAACATTTGTTAACCTACCATATCA